TTTAAATAAACAGTAAGTCAAATCACCAGAAAGCTACAAATGCCACCACTGGTTTTCAATTTACTGTTTTATGGAAATTCACAAAAAGGGTAGAAGTACACAAGCAAATGTATGCATTTTAGGAACTTGCATTGGAGACATTTTCACTTGTAGACCACTAAACCTTAATGGCGGGAATTTCTGAATTTTTGTGCCAGAGATTTTTTCCTTAGCAACCATTCTCTTTAAGATGTAACAAGACTACACACTTTTTTACCTCCGTGCTGGAAATCTCAGACCTAAATTCAGTGTCCCAGAAAAGCTTGTATGACTTAATCTTATATGAAGTTATACCGTACTGGTCATTTGTTACAAACGATCTCAAATCCACCTAATAATTTGGCAAAAACTATATCCAGCTACCTTCCTTCCCTTCTCCTGTATTTTATTTCACCATTACTTGTGGTAGCAATTCACAAGCAACCCAGGTCCCTCTCAAAGTCTACCCTTAGAAAGCCAATTAAGAGAAATGTGAAAAGCAACTGCCTTATTGTTGACCTTCAGGCTAAAGACATCTGGAAGGAGGAGGAAACATAAAATTGGTCGGGTGGCAAGGGGGAATATAGGTTTAAACTAACAAGGACTTTACTCTGTTAGAAAAGTGTCAAGGTTAGGCTCAATGGTTAACATTAGCTCGGTAAGACCTGGGGCACCCGGCTGGCTGTCAGAAGAGCACGTGTCTCCTCAATCCCAGGGTTGTGAGTTCGAGCCCCGTGTTGGGTTGTAGAGATTAAGTAAATAAAATTGTTTTTTAAAAACTAGGTTAAGACTACACTCCAGCACTCTTTCTGTGGGCTCTGGCACGTGTTGATCACCGCCATTATAATCACTATAACCAAACCCTAAGACTCTTATCCTGAGAAACTGGTAAAGTGAAGATGAAAAGAAGGAGCACTGGCATCACGCTTGTTTTCCAAACCCAACTCCAGCACCAACTGGATGTGCAACCGTAAGACTTAATCTGAGATGTTTTATTTTGTAAAACGGATACCATTTCACCAGGTAGTTGTGGACATAACCCAAAGAATGTAGAACCACGTCACAGTATCTATCAGGCTCCTTGGTAGGCAAGAAATATTCTTTCCCTTTCACCTACTGGAACTGAAAACCCTGCATTGCCCTCTGCCATCATTTTAGCCTGGTCCTATTCAAATCTCAATTCACCTAACTTCCTAGGTGATCAATCTATAGGACCCTCCTGCTTTTTCTCCGTTTCCAACACCTCCAGACTTGTTTTCCTCAGACACACTTCTCTCTTGCCACTTCCGAGAGCTTACCAGGATTCCCCACTGCCAATCATCGACCGGTTGGGCTTCTGGTTTCTCACGTAAGCAAAGCCTGTTACAAATTTACTTGTGGACCCTCCTTCCCCTCCCCCTTAAACAATTCACTTATTTAAGAACCAATTCATGTCCCTATTCCCTCAAAAGCCACCCCAACTATTACCCACCAACTGAACTTGCTCTTAAATATTAATACAGCACTTGGGGCGCCTGGGTGGCTCAGTCGGCTGGGCGGCCGACTACAGCTCAGGTCATGATCTCACGGTCTGTGGGTTCAAGCCCCGCGTCGGGTTCTGTCCTGAGAGCTCAGAGCCTGGAGCCTGCTGCCGATTCTGTTTCTCCCTCTCTCTCTGACCCTTCCCTGCTTTGCTGTCTCTCTCTCTCAAAAATAATAAATAAAATTTTTTTTTTAAAGTTTTAAATACAGCACTTGAAACCTGAATCACATCTAATTGGGTAAGCTCTACATCCAATGTGGGGCTTCAACTCATGACTCCCCCGAGATCAAGAGCTGCGTGCTCCACCGACTGAGCCAGCCAGGCGCCCCTAGTTGGCTCTTACGTCTGCTTACCTCATTACTGCTTTTGCTTTCTAAACAAAATCATACACTTAAGGGCAGAGACCGTGTTCTATCTTCCCATACCAGTATCAAAAAGAGAATCGTGGGCCTCATCCTAGACGTACAAAACAGAGACAGTTGGAGTGAATGGGGAAGCATTAAAAACACTCCCGGGGGCTCCTGTCAACATCGCAGGAGAAAACTACTCATTACCCCGCCAGCAGAGATCATCTCGTCAACATTTATCTCTACTAATAACACCCTAATACGGGATCAAGCGTTTTCTCTCTATAAAACAAAGCTGTTGCTGATGGTTCACAAAAAAGGAAATACTTTTTTTCGGACAAGAGGATGGTCACTGCCGCAGCAAGTGCTCGGCCCTCCAGCGCGGGAGCCCACCGCCGTGTCCCCGGGGAGTCTGCTGCGTTCGGTGGCAGCTGGCCTTCGGCAGAGTCCAGCGCTGTCAGCCGCAGAGGGACCACGACCCTATGACCGTGGCGTCTCTTTGGACACCAGGACGATGCTGCTTTAGTGCCACAGAGAGCTCCGTTTTTTAAGCAGTTTCTTACCAAAGGTAGTTCTTGAACTTTCTGCCCCTCTGATACTCAGTTTGCTATTTTGCATTGTTTTCAGAAGTAATCCTCCAACTCCATAAATAAATGAAAACCAAGCCACACAGTTGGAAATCAAGTTTTGTTTTTATATGAACAGAAGTAGACCATCTAGAAATATTTCAGTTTATTTAAATTGTTAAGTAGAATATGAAACCGAATTTGTAGCTAGTACCAGAGAATGGACTTAACTGTTTGGTGTTTAATGAGAACAGCTTCTACACAGGATCCCAAGAGACTTACAGAAAAAGGGGCAAAGCCCTAATATTAAGCAAATAAAACTCATGTTTCAAACAGGTTATACAAAAATTGATTTATACTCCATTTCCCTTTTTTTTTTGATATTTAGAAAGTGCAGATTTAACAAAAGGTAGCCATATCCTTTCTATGTACAATGCCGATTATAATTATGCAAACAACAAAACTGTCAGTCTGTTACCCAAAAATCCCAGTGTTTAGCTCTCAAACCTTAAGTCACTGAATTGAATCAGGATTAAAGAGGGTTAAAAAATAAAAAAGCTATTGCCACATTCCAGATAAAGGAAAGCAACACATACATTAAAATTAATCTAACGACAGTAGGTTTAACCTATAACTTTTCGAGAAGCTTAACCTCATTTCATTATTATTTTTAGTGGAAAATTAGGGATTATTTGGCAATGCTGCTTTTACTAGTAAACAATGATAAAGTCAAGTGAAGGAAAAAACCTAAGAACAACCACCAGTGAGGCATATAAAATTGTTTTTAGGGCACTATCTGAAAAATTCATGGATGTTCAGAGCAGATACGTCCCTATGTTGGTGATGTGAGCCAAGAGGGCATTAAAATGCTACCCACGACACAGAAAGACTTTTCAATGGAAGCTGCTGTCCTAAACTCAGCCTCTGCTAGAAATGAATCATGCTATTCATGATTATTTCAACAAAGGTATCATCTTAGGATGCTAGCAGCGTAGCAAACTTAACTTACCCTATCCTGATGATAAGCAATGAAGCGAAACTAGAAAAATGAAGTGAAAAAGGACAGGGTTAGAGATAGCCGGAGATCTGATCTGTACATGAAAAGCCTTTTGTTGTCCTTTTCCCAAATCCATGGTAATACAAGTTTTCCAAAGGGATGTGAAGATAGGACTTAAAATTAATAATACTCTAAAGTACTTCTAATCTTAAGGTAAAGACAACTTAACACTGAAAAAGTGTTCTTCAAAGGCCAAATCTCAGTATATTTGGCAAACATGTTAATAAATCTCACTCCTCCTTCCCACCTTAAAAAAAAAAGAAAACCAACCAAACAAACAAACAAAAAAAAACAAAACAAAAAACATAACTTTTACTGGGCTACCAAACTGCTAGAGGAGTTGCCAAAATGGAGACTCTTCAAATTTAGGTTAAGAGATTTATTCTAGGAAAGTGAATAGGCTATACACCTAATTAGAAAGACAAACCACAACACCCTCCAAACACTAGTGCATGCAATTAACTCTTCCATTTCATAAACTCAATGGATAGAAAGGGAACAGAGAGGGAAGAGGAGCATGAAGTAAAAGAGCTGATGAAGGAACCTGGGGCAGAAGTTTTAGGGGAAAAGAGAAAATGAGGGAAAGACATTAGATAGTAGTAGGCAGTTAGAATTTCTCTTTCAGTTTACTTAGCAAGTTAAATCAGTACTTTATGTTAAACTTGAAAAACCTACTAGTTTGCCCCTTTCATTTTTAAATAACTCATACCATTGGGTGGTGGTGGGGGGCGGGGGAGCAAATAAAGCAGCATGCAGGAAGACAGCGAGGAGAAAGTGGCCAAACAGAAGAACTGGTGGCAGGAACAGTTTGAAGTATCAAGGCCACTTGAAATTAAGACTCAGCAAACCAAAGCTATCATTTCTGCATTACCCTTTGTCCTCAGTTAACTACTTTGAAAATTATAGCCAAGCAAACCACAAACATTTGAATGGTTTATGTTTGGATGATATGTATGTCTCCTGCACATGCTTCCACCAAAACAAAACAAAACAAAACAAAACAAAACAAAACAAAACAAAACAAAACAAAACACAAAAGAAAAACCAAAGCGGTTCCTTTCCACATAAGGCACAGGACAAAATTAATCCCATTTACATATTCAAGGCGAAAATGAGTGTTTTCCTGGCTTTTGTTTCTTTTGCTATCACATGTCTATAGATTATAGGGACTCAAGCACATTATCCATGACAGAAAATTCCACTGTTGTACAAAATAAAATTGTTAATTCTAACTTTTATTCTTATACAATTTGCAGAATAGAGTTGAAATGATTGCTATAGGTTTTAATGTTGATAAGAAGAACTGGACTATAATACAACTGAAATGCAGTGGTGAGCTGAGCAAGTACATTTAAAAATGAAGTCACAGACATGATTTTTCTATACATTTTTTTTTGGAAGAAAATTATAAAGTCAGCAAGCAGTCACAGATGAAAGAACAAATAAAATAGGTGGATTGGATAATTAAGATGAGGAACAAAAGTATCTGTTTCGAGTTAAAAATGGACAGAGTGGTTTATTTTGCAGCAAGAGGAGCCAACAGGGTGGTGGATGGCAACTGACGGAACAGGAGGATGTTCAGCAACATTTGCTCTTCCAGCCTGTCACGCCTCCTCCACTGCTGATATCTACATTCTCACTGTTGGGCTCTTTTACAGGGGTCTGGAACACACACACAAGGAAAGTAACCCATGAATAAACACTGCTATGAAAAAATCAAGATTCAACACAAATATTCTCATAAATGTAACAAAACGTAATTACGGTCACATAAGATAGGTGTTCTCTCCCACGCAAAAAGTAAACATTTGGCAGCTTTGTTTCTGATCTACATTTTGCCTGCTCACTCCAAGCTGTGAATGTCTAGAGGCCTCCTGGCATCCTTTTAATAAAGCTTCCAATATCCTTTCTGCTGTTTGCACAGAGGTTTTTCTTAGCCCTGACCCCTGAGTGTTTAGGACTTAAAAAGCATTATCAGGCAAATGTATAAAACCAATGTTGGGTTGAGTCTAACCTCAGAGGAGTGAACCAGCCCTTTTCTGTCTAGTTAACTTGCCTTTTGAGACTGAAGCTTGTGATACTTTACCATACCTTTAAAAAGGCAGTCTCAACAATGATATGCTAACATTAAGTGGAAGGAAATGGGTGGGGCAGAACACAAAGTTGTAGAATTCATGTTAAAGATGGACACAGAAAAAAGTCAAAAGGAGAGACATCAAATGTCAACAGCAGTAACCCTTAGGTAGTGGGGTTGAGTGATTTTATTTTCTTCTATGAATACTCCTGTATTTCCCCAATATCCTAAATAGTACTTTTAAAATCATAAGAATATCATCTTCTCAATGGACAGCCTACACTATATGAAAGGAACATTTTTTAGCAACAGCTTGTATTTAGTAAAGTATACAATTTTTTTTTTTTTTTAATGTTTACTTTTGATAGAGACAGAACACGAGCAGGGGAGGGGCAGAGAGAAAGGGAGACACAGAATCTGAAGCAGGCTCCAGGCTCTGAGCTGTCAGCACAGAGCCTGACACAGGGCTCGAACTCACGAACCACAAAATCATTACCTAGTCGCAGTCAGATGCTTAACCGACTGAGCCACCAAATCTTAACTGTGCTTAGTATATAATGTGAAACTATCAGATCAAAATCTAGAATGTAATACTCCCAGAAGGCTCCCTTATATCCTTTTCTAGCCAGTACTACCCTACTAAAGGTAACCAGTACTCTCATTTCTGTCACCAGAGATTAGGTTTTTTTCTGTTCTTGACCTTCATATACACGGAACCATGTTTTATGTATTCTTTTATGCATGACTCCCTTTACTCAGTATCAGTCTGGGAAATGTATCCAGATTCTTTTGTGTGTTAACAGTAGTTCATCATGAGTGAAAATTTAAAAGCTAGGGTGTAACTGGGAATATATTCTCTCCTAGAAACAATATAAAGTTAAGGTAACCCGGGGTGGGGGGGAAACAAAATATTTTAAAGGCATGTAGCCCAAGAGAAACCTGCTTAACTAATACTGAGGTGAAATTTCAACTTGCACTTCGAGGTCACCTACCTATTCTCACTGCTTTATGGGATTCTTCTCCTCATTGTACGTTATAGCTACAAGCTTTGCATTTAAAAAACCTTTGTGAGTTTTCCTGAACTAACTTTATTCCTATTGCAGATCTTGAGAAAAATGAACAGAAGAGAAAGAGGCCAGTCAGCACCTCACCCATAGCAGAAGAATATGATTGCACAGGAAATACTCTTTCTCTGGTAACTTCCAGGTGTGGGTCAGTTAAAAGTACATGGGTGCTTAAAAACAAACAAACATGGGTGCTTGTAAGCAGGGAGGTCACTTTATCTATTCACTTAGCACTTCATTCACAGTCCATCCCTTCACAATTTAACTTAGAGCCTTGAAAGAGACTCCCTAAAAAAGGGAATTATTCTATGCAGAGCAAAACATTTTAGAGCCAAAAGTATTAATCAAGTTTATTAAGTACAACTCCAAGCTGTTCCCAGCCAAGAATAAGAGAAAGGCCAATAACTACATTTAAAAAGTGAGGGAAAGAATAAAAGAAGTTTACAGAAAAGGAAATACAAAAGTGATTGTTAAACAGATCTTTAAAAATGCTCACCTTACTCAAGAGACCTGCAAATTAAATCCACCTTTGTTTCTTGTTTTTAAACCTGTCAGGTTGGGGAATATCTGAAGGTCTTACAACCCACTATGTGGTCAGAGTGTGAGTAAACAGACGTCCCCATACACTGCTAGCAGGAATGTTAATGGGTACAACCCTCAGGACAGCATGTGGTGCCATGTATCACAATTATTAAAAAACACATATATTTTCTCTTTGGCCACTTCCAGGTATCTGTCCTTCATATATTTGCACATAATCATGTACTTACAAAATGATTTAAATACAGGATTATTCACTGCAATACAATTTATGAGATCATAAGGTTGAAAATCACTCAAATGTCCTTGAGAAAACCTGTTTAATTATGACAAATCAACTCAAGGGAGTAGCATTCAATTATTTAAAAAGTGGACTTTACGTATATATTTAAAGTGCCAAACAGTGTACACGCAGCCTTACCCAAAGAGTGGGAATAAAAATATATTCATATTAACACCTATATTAATAACTAAGAGGTTAAACTGGTTACCTGTGGGGGAGAAATGAGGAGTTGGGGGAATGCAGTGGGAAACTTCTCTGCACTTTCACTCTCTTTATTTTAAATGTTTGAACCATGAGAATGAATTACCTAGTCTAATAATTAAGTTAAAAAATGGTTTAAATTGCTTTCACTCTGAAGTTAATTTTTCTTGGAGCACCTGGGTGGCTCAGCAAGTTGAGTGTCCGACTTCAGCTCAGGTCATGATTTCGTGTGGGTTCAAGCCCCACATCAGGCTCCATGGTGACAGTGTGGAGCCTGCTTGGGATTCTCTTTCTCTTTCTGCCCCTACCCTGCTTGCTCTCTCTCTGTCTCTCTCTCAAGCATCACTCCTGTTTCCCATATTCCAATGTAAAACAAGTTCATGTTTGATGTTTTAACTCATAACCTGACCACAATGAAAAGCATTATGTATGTGCATAGAAAAAAAATGCAACCTCACATTTGGGCCTGCCTACATGGGGAAGACTCCAGACTGAGATCTTTCTGTATTGGTGTATCCATACTTTTGAGCCTTTAATATGAGAACAAGGAAAACCTATTTCATAGGGAAACAGATTATATGATTATATAAGCATTTTTAAAAAATGCCAAGATTAGTGAGAAGTTGAGGGCTACAGTATGGACAGAAAGAAATCAGAAACCATGGAGAAAACTAAAAAATCCAGAAAGAGAAAGAACACAAAAGAATATTAACAAGTGTTATGGTAAATCTTATGAGTACTGGAATAATTTTTCACTGTGACCCACAAAGCTCTGAAATACAAAGTATATTATCACTAACTTAAAAAGTATTTTGGGGGGCACCTAGGCAGCTCAATCCATCTTCACGATCTCGCGGTTCACAAGTTCGAGCTCTGCGTTGGGCTCTGCGCTGACAGCTCAGAGCCTGGAGCCTGCTTTGGATTTTGTGTCTCCCTCTCTCTCTGCCCCTCCTCTGCTTGCGCATGCTCACATATGGTCGCATGCTCTCTCTCTCTCTCTCAAAAATAAGTATTTAAAAAAATTAAAAAAAAAATATTTTTCTATCCCTGTTATTCCCTTCATGTAACTAAAAATGCAAACATTTTGCATTTGGGGTGCTTGGGTGGTTCCATTGGTTAGTTAACTGTCTGACTCCGGGTTTCGGCTCAGATAAGGATCTCCCAGTTTATGAGTATGAGCCCTGCACTGGTCTCTGTGCTGACACTGTGGAGCCTGCCTGGGATTCTCCCTCCCCCACCCTCTCCGCCCCTTCAGCGCCTGTGCTTTGTCCTTCTCAAAATAAATAAACTTTAAATTAAAAAGTACAAACATTTTTCCTTGTTCACCTAGTATTTTACTTTCATAACTGGTTTTTCTTATTTTTTAAATTTACTGTTTGTTTTTCTTCTTTTTGATGCTACTGTAAATGGAATTATATCCTTAACTTCATTTTTGTTAGTTTGTTTTACAGTCACTCTGAATAGCAATAACTGATGACTTTTTTCCAGTTTGAACACACAATTATAGTTGACAACTACATTTTGCTATATACAAAAGTAACTTGCTTGATTTCTCTGAAATTTCACTAGATTTGTATTTGAGATACCATTTCTATTACACCTTATGTTTTATATATATGTATGTATATATATACACACACATAAATTATATATACATAAATGATAAATTCCGGGATTGGTTTTTTGAAAAAAAATATTATTTCAATTATAAAAATAGAAAAGTTACCAGAGCAATTAAATTTTCTCCTATACAATGCTTGCTTCTCCTATAGGATTTGTGTAAAAACAGATTTGTTCTGTTTTTATGTGCATTTAAATGTACTATAGAGCGAATAGAGAACTCAGGATTCATAACCAAATCTGTGTATTGTATCTAACCATCTGAGGAAAAATATGAAAATCAGACTTCCCAATTTTGCTACAAGTTACTTGTAGTGGTGAGTTTCACAAATTAAACCCAGAAACTAATCCTGAGGCAAAGTTAATTCCCTGAGATTACATTTTATCATTTTTAACACATCACAGATTGAAATGATTGGCTAAAAGAAATATAGAGATGGATTTACTGTATTTATTTTCAGTATATAACAGATATGTGCCCTTTACTGGCACATCTGAGAAATGACTATATAGAAAAAAAATGATTCTGTACAAATCACCATTAGCTTAAATTTTAAGAAATTACCTATGGAAATGCAAAGAATGTATAAGAGAAATGAGTCCAAAAGTAAACAAAAGAGCCACAACACCATGGACTGGACAAAAAGTTGAAAAAACGAGCATGAAATTAGGGACCTGAGAGTCAGTGTGGGAGTTCAGAACAGTGTTACCACTGACCAGAAGCCACAGATTTCTAGTGGTTCTCTGTTCTCCCCAGGTCCCACGTCACTTTGGAGGGTTAGATGTTGGTGATAGGTAAACAGTTACGAACAATACCACCCAAATCTAATTTCTGTATGTTAATCTAGTACTTCAAAAAAGACTAAATGCTCAATTGTGACACTGGCACCTTAGAATTCAAAAGTAAAAATACGATCTTACCTTTCGAAGGATATCTTCAGCTAATGTGAGAAAAGCCTTTTCGATGTTTATATTTGCTTTTGCACTAGTCTCAAAAAATCTAATACCATGCTCCCTTGCAATCTAAAACAGAAGCAAAATGTCACCATAAAATTATCAAGCATAGGGTGCTGACTGCTGACGTTAGTATCCTGGAGGAAAAAATATTATTCTAAAGGCGGCAGTCTCTACTAGGTTATATAAAACGAAGTTATTTCGATGGGTCAAGATTCAAATGGTCAAGTTCTTTCAAAAATAAGTAAGTAAACAAAAATACTAAAAGAATCCTCTTCTCACTTCGGGAGTTTACTTCAGATAGCCTAAGTGAGGTACTTAAAGTCTGAAGTTAAAAAATTGAGAACCTCTTTGTAATTTAAATAAGGTTAACAATACTACCACCACAGGTTTGATTCTCCCATACGCGTTGGACATGCACTGAAAAAATTCACTCAAAGGATAAACTATTGTTTCCCACAGCATTTATAAAACATTGTGAATAGCTCAGCATCGTCCATTACCAGTACCAGCCAATCTAAAGCAATACCATCTTTACAAAGAAAGCATATTCGTTTCATTCAGAGCTTTTTACCTGTTCTCCTTTTCCTTTAGGTACAACTCTTTTATCATCCATATCACATTTGTTTCCTAGTAACATTCTTTCCACATCTTCATTGGCATGCTACAATGGAAAACATTTTAAATTTACACACTACCACCAATTATAGCTTAATATTCTCTAAAAATGACTTTATTTTTCTCAATTTTCAGTGTCATTTTTATAATCTGAAAGTTTTAAAGCAATCGTCCTGAAATCATCCCCATGCTAAGGCCTACACAAATTCATAAATTACTTAGAAAAAGAAACAAAATCCCTAATATTGCTGTCAAATATTATTTTCCCCCAATAAGAGGCTGTATAGTTTCTAATATATTCTCACCAAAAGAGAAGATTTAGGCAAAAGATCTGAAACTGGAATCTCTTATGCATAATCTAAATCCAAGAAGGATGATGATTTTGGAGAATATGTATTACCCTGTAGAAGCCTTAATTATAAATTCTATAGAGCCCTTAAAATCTCAAAAAGCTATACTGCTAGGGTGCCTGGGAGGCTCAGTCACTCTTGACTTCAGCTCAAGTCATGATCTCACCACGGTCTGAGAGATTGAGCCCCGCTCTAGGCTCTGTGCTGACAGCACAGTGCCTGCTTGGGATATTCTCTCTCCCTCTTTGCCCCTCCCCTACTTGCGCATGCTCTCTCTCTCAAAATAAACATTAAAAAAAAAAAAAAAAAAAAAAAAAAAAAAAAAAAAAAAGCTATACTGCTAGAGCACTGAAATCCTAGTAACATCTTTTGCACAAATAGAAAAACCCACCCCTAAAATTCATATGTAATTTCAAGGGACCCTAAACAGCCAAAAATGATCTTGAAAAAGTACAAAGTTGGAAGATTCATACTTACTTCCTGCTTTCAAAACTTATTACAAAGCTACAATAATCAAAACAGTGTGTGCCACTGGCATAAAAAAACATACGCAAATAAAACAGAATCCAGAGCCAAGAAATAACCCCTTGCATGCATCTGACAAGTGCTCTGACAAGAGTACCAAGCCCATTCAATGGGGGAAAGAAGTCTTTTCAACAAATAGTGTTGGGCATACCAAATATCAATAAGCAAAAGAATGAAATTGGGACACGCAACTTACACCATATACAAAACTAAATTCAAAGTGGATCAAAGGCCTAAATAGAAGACCTAAAACTGTAAAACTCATAAAAGAAAATACAGGGGAACAAGTTTTATGACCCTGGATTTGTTAATGGTTTCTTGGATACGACACCAAAAGTATAGACAACAAAGGAAAAAATAGGCAAATTAATATTTCATCAAAATTAAAAACTTGTGTGTGTCAAAGGTCACTACCAGAGTGAAAAGGCAACCAACCCCCGGAATACCAAAAGTATTTGCAAATCATCTATCTTTGGCCCAACACACCTTTCTTTCCCTGAATGTCTCTGCAGCCAAGGTACAGGTTTTCTAGATAATGGAGTAATTTGAGATTTGATTGGTCTTAAATTCGAACCCATCACACTCTTTTTGACTAGCCCCATTCTCTTCTGGGTCACTTGTACTCATTTCTTCAGGTCTCAGCATAAATGTCATTCCTTATATCAAGAGGGTTTGGCTATTCTGGGTCCCTTCCATTTCCATATGAATTTTATCTTCCAATTCATAAACACGAAGTATGTTTCCAATTACTCAGATCTTCTTTAATTTCTTATAACATTTTTTCAGTATTTAAGTCTTGTACATGTCTGGTTACATTTTTCATAACTAGTTTTCCTCTTTTGTTTTTTTAATTTATTGTTTTTCTTCTTTTTGATGCTACTGTAAATGCAATTATATCCTTAATTTCACTTCTGGATTTTTCACTGCTCGTGTATAGAAATACAACTGATTTTTGTATACTGATCTTATTTCCTCCAAGCTTACTGAGTGTGTTTATTGGTTCTAACAGTTTTATTTTTTGGTGTATGTGTATGGACTCCTTAGGATTTTCTATATACAAAATCTCATTATTTACAAATATAGTTTTACTTCCCAATCTGGGAGCCCCCTTTTTTTCCCCTGCCTAATTGCCCTTGCTAGAACCTCCACTACAATTAAGAATTACAGGTGGCATACTTCTCATTTTCTTAGTTGCAGGGGGCAGGTATGATGTTGGCTGTGGGATTTTCACAAACATCTTTTTTTATTAATCATTTTTGTTAATTTATTATTGAGAGACAGAGAGACACACAGTGTGAGCTGGGGAGGGGCAGAGAGAGGGGGAGACACAGAATCCGAAGCAGGCTCCAAGGTCTCAGCTGTCAGCACAGAGCCCCACGGCAGGGCTCAAACCCATGAACTGTGAGATCATGACCTGAGCCAAAGTCGGTCGCCTAACCAACTGAGCCACCCAGGCACCCCACAGACATCTTTTATTAAGCTAAGGAGGTTCTCTCCTATTTCTAGTTTGTGGAGTGCTTTTATCATGAAAGGGTGCTGGTTCTTTGCCTCCTATCAATATGGTATATTACACTGATTGATTTCTTTTTTAAGTTTATTTTATTTTGAGAGAGAGAGAGTGGGGGGAGGGGGGAGAAAGAGAGAAAATCTCAAGCAGACTCCGCACTGTAAGTGCAGAGATCAACAAGAGGCTTGAACTCAGAAACCAAACCGTGAGATCATGACCTGAGACAAAAATCAGATGCTTAAACCAACTGAGCCACCCAGGTGCCCCTATACTGATTGATTTCTTATATTAAACCACCTTTGCATTCCTAAGTAAATTCCTCTTGATCATGATATATAATCCTTTAGAAAATGTTGTTGGATCGGGATGCCTGCGTGGCTCAGTTGATTGAGCATCTGACTTGGGCGCAGGTCATGATCTCACCGTTCATGAGTTCGAGCCCCGCATCCGGCTCCAGGCTGACAGCTCAGAGCTTGGAACCTACTTCAGATTCTGTGTTTACCCCTCTCTCTCTGCCCCTCCCCTGCTCAGGCTATGTATCTCTTTCTCTCTCACACAAAAATAAACATTAAAAAAAAATTTTTTTTAAGTTTCCTTAAAAAAATAAAAATGTTGTTGGATCAGTTCAGCTTCTTTTCATTTAAAGCTTTAATTTCTATAAAAAAGTGAAAATTAGGCAGCACCATTCTTCTTTGAGATAAGAACTCCTTTAAAAAAAAAAATGTATATTTATTTTGAGAGAGAGAATGAGCAGTGGAGGGACAGAGAAAGAAGGAGACAGAGAATCCCAAGCAGGCTCTGTGCTGTCAGTGCAGAGCCCAACACAAGGCTCAATCTCAAGAACTGAGAGATCATGACCTGAGTGGAAATCAAGTCTCAAGAGTCAGATGCTTAACAGACTGAGCCATCGAGGTGCTCCCACCAATATCTTAGATGGCTTATATATGTCAGTTATGTATCTTAACTCTCATGTTGGGAAACTTAAGCCATCCAGCCTTAGTTAAGTATGTAAGGCTGTAATATAATAAAAAACGTATTTGGTCCTTCTGCCCTGGCACAATACTCCTAATTTCCAGAGTGACAGATTGTCTTTTGTTATTCGTAACAATGCCCTTTCTGCTTATCTAAGTTTATGCTAATGAAGACTAGGGCAGAGGGTGCCTACAGAGCTTCACAATGGAAGGTGGTCACCAGAGGAACCAAACATGTAATTAAGGAATTGGAACTTCAGCCACTCCCCTATCTCCCATGAGGAGAAGGGACTAGAGATTAAGTTCAATCACCAGAGGTCAATGATTTAAGTAACCATGCCTATACAGTAAAACCTGGATTAAACTCTGAAACAACGAAGTTACGGCACCTTCCAGGTAGAACAAATCAAAATACCCAGAGGGTGCCATGTCCAGAGACGGCTTGGAAGCAGTGTTCCCCAACCCCAATACCTATATGCCTATGCATCACTTCCATTTAGCTGTTCCTGTACTGTATCCTTTATAATAAAATAATAAATGTAAATACAGCACTTTCTTGAGTTCTGTGAGACATTCTAGCCAACTACTGAGCCAAAAGTGGGTCCTAGGAACTCCCAAATTTGTAGCCAAGTCAGAGAGAAGTGAGGGTAGCCTGGGGAACCAGGATTTAACACATTTGAAGGAAGGGCAGTCTTGTGTGACTGAGTCCTTAAACTTGTGGAGCCAGAATGGCACTGAACTGTAGGACATCCAGTTCATGTCACAGAATTCAGAAAAGTGGTTGCTGTTAGAACAACACTGCACAGTCTCTTTATAAACTGCTCCTACTACACATGCTACTTGGCTGAATCATAAAATAAAGGCTAAAAGAAATCGAAAATGGAGCCTTTTGTGTCAAAAATCTGTGAACTGTTAACTGATTATTAAATACTAACAGGCTTCTCCTTGAAGATTTATTGTAGCGATGGAAAAGGTAGTAATGAGCTGTTAAGACTGGTACCATTGAAGATACCATGATCTTGTGTCTAATGCTGGCTTAAGCCTTGATCTTCATGTACCTAGCCAAAAATGCTTTAAAGAGTTATTAGTCTTAATGAAATTAAAAGTCTAGAAAGCAGCACTAAGACATGAAAAATAATTTCAACAAGAAGCTACCTATGCTGCAGCACAGAAGCAGACATGCTTTGACACATATTTTACCTTATAAAAACTCACATGTTCACATGCAATGGTATGGTTCTATTTTCTTGGTTAGGTTTTTAACACATTACTACTCTGTATCTTTCAAAATGTCTAGAAGTGATATGACCTTTCTATTGTTTTTAAATTACTACTGAAAAAGGTAGTAATTCATTCATTCATTCAATAAAAATTCACTGAGAAATAATTCATTTAGAGAGAGCTGTGTAAAACCACTGGTAGCTTCTATGTGGGGCCATCTTAGAAGATGGCTGCATAAAGGTTTTGGGTAAGTTAGTAACTGCCTTGGACAGGGTTCTAGACAGACCCAAAACTTTAAGACAAAGGCAGGCAAAATATAACATTAACCTTTAAAAAGGAGAAATAACTAATAAAGACAGTACATTATATACTAAACATCAATTAGAATATTTATTCTTAACACAAAAATGTGTCTTTACAAGGGGTTTATACAATTTCTAGGTCTTACCTCATCTATGTTTCTAAGCCATTTGCTGATGTTTTCAAAACTTTTACCATTGGTGATGTCATATACTAGCATGATACCCATTGCTCCTCTGTAGTAGGAGGTTGTGATGGTGTGAAATCGTTCCTGGCCTGCCGTATCCCTGAAATAAACAGCAATAATTTGTATTGAGCATTTTGATATTACTACATTCTAGATAAAGGGCAAAACAGAATGGTTTGGTAAGAAAAACACAAAAATCCATTATATGCCACAAAGCAAAACTGAACCACTCATTTAATTCTTAGATGTTAATAATTCTGGTTTATTCTTAAGAATAAATATATATAACTTTTTTTTAGTTAAAGAATTTAATGACCTACCTATACTGGATGAAAATCTGGAAGGGAAAACAGTAGAAGAATGACATGTAAAACTCTTGGGAAATTACTTTAATATGAACACCAGCAAGTGTAATAAAAACTCTTAAAATTCTGTTTTATTCAGTGATCTAGTTCCATAATGTAATACAAAAGCATGTGGAATGTTTAGAACATTAAAGGACTACACCGTAGTACAGCCACATTTACCCATTTAGAATCATTTACAAAATGTTATAAAGATAACTTCATTTTTAAGTTAACAAGGTGGAAATATGTAAATAGTATTTTTCAGTTCTTTCATGTCAGAGATCTAAGATCTATATTTTGCTCCTGTAATTTCCCCCTTATTTGCATCACCTATTTCTTCCTTTTATAGATCATTCTCATCAGCATACATACATGCTTTAGTATCCCCTATCTTTTAAAGTTAATTTTATTTGAGAGAGAGAGAGAGAGAGAGAGAGAGGCAGAGGCTGAGCAGGGGAGGGGCAGAGAGAGAGAGAGAGAGAGAGAGAGAGAGAGAGAGAGAGAGAGAATATCCCAAGCAGGCTCCATGCTCTCAGCACAGCTCCCCAATGTGGAGCTTGAACTCACGAACTGTGAGATGACCTGAGCCAAAATCAAGTTTCAGACACAACCAACTGAGCTACCCAGGTGCCCCCTCTTTTTTTGTTTAAAGTTTTATTTAAACTTTATTTATTTTGAGAGAAAGCACGGGCAGGAGAAGGCAGAGAGAGAGGGAATCCCAAGCAAGCTCCACACTATGAGCACAGAGCCTGACACGAGGGTCAAACCCACAAACTGTTGAGATCATGACCTGAACTGAAATCAAGAGTCAGACGCTCAACCAACTAACTGAGCCACCAGGTGGGCCCCTTATCTTTCGTAAAAAAGTAAAATTAAAACAAAAAAACCCACTCTCAACCCTACATCTCTTCAACTAACATCACATTTCTGTTCCCCTCCCCAGTGAACTTTCTTTTTAAAATAATTACAGGCTCACTGGAAGTTACAAAAATGTATTCTTGTGTATCCTTCACCCAGCTCTCCCCAATGGTAACATCATACACCATCTCACAAAAGCAAAACCAAGAAAGTTACATTGGTACAATCAAATGACCTTATTTAGAGTTTTTTTTTTAACATGCATGCGCACATGCATGTATTAGTTCTCTGCAATTGTATCACATGTATAGATACGTGTAATCACCACCAGAAACAAGATAGAAAATTGTTACATCACCTTTCCATCTCCTATAGTCCTACACCCTGGCCAATTATGTTTTCCGTCTCTATAATTTTGTCATTTCCAGAATGTTATATAAATGTAATCATGCTGCATACAACCTTTTGAAATGGGTCGTTTTTCACTTTTTTTAACCATAAATCTCTTTGAGATCCACCCACGTTGTTGCATGTAATACAATCTGTTGTATTATAATCTGTTCTGTGCTATTACTGAATAGTATTCCATGGTATGGACATATCACAATATGTCTAATCACTCATCCATGGAAGGACATTTGGGTTGCTTCCAGTTTTGGGCCATTACAAATAAAGGTGCTATGAATACTTACGTATAAGTTCTTGTGTGGAAATTAAGTTTTCTTTTCTGTGGGATGAATATCCAGGAATGTGACTGCTGAGCCATATGATAAGTATATGTTTAACTTTATAAGAAACTGCCAAACTTTTCGAGAGTGGCTACACCACTTTATATTTTGACTAGCAATGTAACATAACACATCCAGTTTCTCTGCATCCATCAGCATTTGGTGTTGTCGCTCTATTTTTTAATCTAATAAATAGGTTGCGAGTGATACCTCATCATTTTAATTTGCATTTCTCTATGGCTAATGATGGTGAACATTTTTTCATGTAATTATTTGCCATCCATGTATCCCCTCTGGTGAAATGCTGTTCTTGTTTTCTGCGCATTTTCTAATTAGATTGCTTATTTTATTTTTTTAAACTGTCCCATGTTTAGGGTTCTGTACCCAGTTTTTTAATTCTCTTGACAGGGTCTTTTGTAGAGCAAAAGTTTCAAATTTTGAAACCTGGGGTGCCTGGGTGGCTCAGTCAGTTGAACGTCCGACTTCAGCTCAGGTCATGATCTCACAGTTCGCGAGTTTGAGCCCCACGTCAGGCTCTGGGCTGACAGCTCAGAGCCTGGAGCCTGCTTCAGATTCTGTGTCTCCCTCTCTCTCTGCCCCTCCCCTGCTCATACTCTGTTTCTGTCTCTCAAAAATAAATAAATGTTAAAAAAAATCTTAAAAAGTTTAAAACCAGCTTGTCTAGATCTAAAAAAAAAAAAAAAAAAAAAAAAAAAAAAAAAAAAAAAATCTCCCCAGCAAGGTTCTGCTCTTCTTCAAAAGGTCTCCAGAAACCACTGATAGCTAAATCCAGGATTTAGTTCCTTTTTGTATATTTTAACCATTCATCAGGATGCCATAAAATTGACCACCTTCTCATTTTAAAACATTTTATTCTCATGACTCTTCTGACACCACCTATTTCTGCTCTTAGCTCTATGGCACTGGCTGCTCATTCTCAGTTTCTCTGGCTAGCATTCTAACATTCAGAGATACACAGGCTGACAGTCCCCACATAGTAGCCAGAGTGATCTTCTTTAAACTAATGCTGCCACTGTGCAAAATAGTCTGGCGGTTCCTCAAAATGTGCAACATACAGCTACCATATGATTCTGCAATTCTACTTCTTGGTACATACCCAAGAGAAATGAAAACATATGCCCACACAAAAACTCATATACGGATGTTCATAACAACATTAATCTTAATAGCCAAAAAGTAGAAACAATCTAAATGTCCGATAATTGATGGATAAATAAAATGTGATCTAGTCAGAGAATGGAATATTATTCAGCCACAAAACAGAATAAAGTACTGATTATCTGCTTACAACATGTGAAACTTGATAACTGATACCATTATGTTAAGTGAAAGAAATCAGAAACAAAAGACCAGATAGTGTATGATTCCATTAATATGAAATGTTCACAACAGGAAAATCCACAGACATTTAGTGGTTGCCCTGGCTGAAGGGTTTGGGCAGGATGGGCAGTTTCTTTTTTGGAATATACACATGTTCTAAAATTGTGATGATGGTGAATATATACATTGTAAATACACTAAAAAACTAAGTGTACACTTTTAAAATGGATGAGTTACATGGTACATGAATTAAGTCTTATCTCAATAAAGCTATCACAAAACAAACACAAAAGATTACTAGGCTAAAAAACAAAACAAAATTTCCAATTCATTATAACCAGAACCAGTTTCAAAACCTTATCTCGAGGCTTTCAAAGGGTTACAGGACTTGTTCTTTTCTCCAGCCCCCCATATTTTGATATATTCCTTTCCTTCAAAGCTAGAGCCATGTTTTTTTGTTTTTGTTTTATTTAATAATTTGAGCTCGTTGGTCTCACGTTTTTTTTTTTTAACGTCACCAAATTCACAAGCTTGCTTTCACTTGAAAACTACTAGCTGTTCCCACAGCCTCACTGGCTCCTCATGTTCACATCTGAACCGTCACCTTAACAATGAAGCTTTCTCCAGCTGCCCAATTTAAATAGTCATCCAGTCTCTCTCCATTCCGACTCCCTACTTCACTTCACTGTATAAAACTTATTACACATTTATTTCTTTACTGTCTCCCATGTCCTCTAAAATTTAAGTTCCATCAGATTTGTCTTGTTCATCGCAGAATCCATGGTCTTTACATGGGAGAACAAGCATTCAAATGTTAATGAGTCAGTACTTCAGAATCCTATCTTGCATTCTTCATTATTTTACAATCAAGCCACTCTAATTCAGTTATATAATCCTTAAAAAATGTATTTTTAAAATAATGCTCAGAAGTACCTGGGTGGCTCAGTCGGTTAAGCGTCCGACTTCAGCTCAGGTCACGTTCTCGTGGTTCATGAGTTCAAGCTGGGCATCAGGCTCTCTGCGGTCAACACAGAGCCCGCTTCGGAACCTCTGTCCTCTCTCTGCCCCTCCCCTTCTCTCTCTCTCTCTCTCGAAAATAAATAAACATTAAAAATATTTTTAGGGGTGCCTGGGTGGCTCAGTCGGTTCAGTGTCTGACTTCAGCTCAGGTCATGATCTCGCAGCTCATGAGTTCGAGCCCCGCATCGGGCTCTGTGCTGACAGTCAGAGCCTGGAGCCTGCTTCAGATCCTGTGTCTCCCTCTCTCTCTGCCCCCTAATCTACTCGCATTCTGTCTCTGTCTCTCTCAAAAAGAAATAAACATTAAAAAAATTTTTTTTTAATATTTAAAAATAATGCTTATATGCCTAAAAATATGTGTAGCCAGAAATAGAACACAACTACCAATACATCAATATTCCTTACGCTCAATCCTGGTGTACAATTACAGTGTTCGTACATCTGCCCTCTATCCATCTATCCATCAATTCAAATATGTACTGACTGTCTACTGTGTGCTAACCATTATACAAGAACAAACAGAGAACATGGGTTTGGAGTCAGATGCAAGTTTATCCTCAGGTTCTAATCCTTCCAGGTGGGTGAACTTGAAGGTACTGCAACCCTTCTGGATCTTTGTTTTTTCATTCACAATTAAAAGAAACAACTAAAGTAAAATTCCATAATTTATTTGTGTATGTGTTATAGATAACCTCAAAGCAATCCGTAGTATAAAAATATACAAAGTTGCAATAATGTCATTTTGTGATTGTCCCAAGTCAACACCATCTCTGCAGATGCTCTCTCAAGTTAGTGTGTCAGTGTTT